TTTTTTAAAAAAAAAAAAAAAAAAAAAAAAAAGCACAGAGGATGTGGTAAACTCATGAAATCTCTCCTGCCTTCTGAGAGGTGCGTCTGAGTCCTAGTTTGGATAAAAACATCAGCTTTGCTGGCCAAAGCCAAAACTCAAGCTTAACTGCAATGTGCAGCTGATGTGCTAGTTGGTGTGTACCCTGCACCCCGGTTTGCGTCAAAGCTGGAACTATTCCTGACCTCAGCTCACCATTTTCTGAGTCTGTCAGAGGTCTTTGGGTGGGGAAGTGAAGCTGAGCAGGGGTGGGATGTTGCTGCACCAGCCCTTGGCCCTTCCACCAGCCCGTGCTGCGGGTCTGCGGCAGGCGGAGGTCTCACTGCGACGGCTGGAGCAGGACCCAGGGCTTGTGTGTGGCAGCAGCAGAGGCTGGGCTGCGGGTGGGGTGGGATTTGCTCCCCCTGAACACCAAGCCACGGAGGTAACGGGAGAAACGGTGTCCGTGTCGAAGGATGTGCAGGCTCAGAGGGTCGTACTCCTCCTCGGAGCAAGGGGTGCTCAGGTTTGACTGCAGCACCCTCCATGAGGCTTTGTCCAGCTGCAGTAAGAAATGAGTTGCAGGCTGTTAAATCAACCAACAAGCTCAGTGAATACTTGAATAAGATGTCCAAGCTGATCTCTGCCCTGATTCAGCTCCCTGGGCTGAGCTGGAGATGTCGTTGGCTGTAACGTGGGTGCGCGTGGCGTTACGTCAGGTTTGGGCAAACTTCTGAGTCTGCGCTGGGGATGCACAGGGTATCTTTTTTTTTAATGCTGCTTAGAGCTAAATAAGAAACCAGAGAGGACAAAAATAAAATGGAAGCGATGCAAAACTGGTATCTGGCTACAGCACGAGGCAGTTTGTATACAGGATTTGCTGTAGTCAGCTAATTGCTAATGCACTTCTGTGGGGATGTGTGCCGTGTGCCCCAGCCAGCCAAGCACGGTGCAAAAGCGCTCAAACATCTGCTCCCTGCTGCTGCTCATCCCTTCCGACCAGGCAGAAAAACGGCTCGATGCCTTCAGGAGAGGGTGGTGCCAGAGCGGGGCGATGCTGGGAGAGCTCACCCTGCCGCGGCCAGCCCTGGGGCCCGTTGTTTGTGTCGGGCGGGATGTGTCGGGGTGAGCTTCGCTCCCCGGTGCCTCGGCAGCCCTGTTCAGAGAGGGACATTGTGCACGAGATCAAACCCCCAGAACGGTGCTCGCTTGCCTGAGGAGCTGGCGGGGCAGCTTTCCATCACTAACATTTCATTTAGGAGAGCGGTGGTTTGCCTACTAGTCACTAGTTACAAGCAAACTCTATCAAATTTACTTTCAAGTTTAAATCTGAAAAGATTGTGGAAAAAAAAAAATTAAAATCTGTAAAGATCTTAAAGAAATATTAAAGAGGGGAAGCCTTTGGGTCCTTTTGTTACCCTGGGTTGGGCAGTTTCCTTTGGCAAACGTTCCTCAGTCCAGCTTCTGATTTTTTTTAAGATACCTGTTCATTCGTCTGACAAACTCATGAAGAGCAAGGCTTTCTCCCTCCACTTCCCCCTAAAACAAATCCCGTTCCTTTATCGTCTCTGGTTTAATTCTCCTGCTGGCACCCTGCCGTGCGGGCTCAGCACCGGCTCCGTGGGCTCCTCGCCTGCCCCGGCGCTACTCCGTGGTCGTATTTCTGGTGCAGGGGTGTTGTGCCCGCTGTGAGGTGCCTCCGCCCCGTCTTTAATTCCACTTACTGGCCGCTCAGTCCCTGGAGCAGTGGCCAGCACACCAAGCTCTCCTCCTTTAGCCTGGCGGGGATTCTGGCTTTTCCCAACCTCTGCCACCTTTCCCACCTGTAGTGCTTAAGGTAGAAAATGCTCTTGGAGGTAACGTGTGAATTATGCTCCTGCTTCTGCGCGGGTCTGATGGGGTGTGGCCGGCAGCGTGCTGCGGAGGCATCGCTTCATCTCGGCCTCGGAGTAATCCCCGTCCCATCTCTGTGCCCCGCCACCGCGTCTCGCACGGCCACGTCCTGACACACGGTCTCCAGCAGACGGAACGGCGCCGGCCCCGCGCTGCATTTGCATGAGGATGATCGCTTAACCACCGCTCCTGACAATTTTTAATACTGTTTCGCTGTTATTAAAAGGAACGGTCTTTACTGCAGACCTGATAACTGTAGAATAAATCAAGGTTTTATTGTGCCCAGTTAATAGAATGTATCAATGAGCCCTGAGCGGTTCCGGTGGATATAAGCATAATTTTGAATATGGATATTCATCGCATATAGCGGTTGTTCAGTCATCCAAGCATGTACAAGAAAATTACCAAGTTTAAATTACTTTCTGAATTTCAAGTTTCTTGGCTGGGCAGCTTCCAACCATACATAAACAACCGGCTTGCTATCTGCCTTACAGCACATACATTATAACTCTAATGACTTTACAGGGTTGGGGTTTTTTTTTTTCTTTATGCTGCTTCATGTTGCATCATCTACATTTTCTACTTAATTTATGTCCGTCCCCCATAATTTTCCTTTTAAAAATGGTGGCCTGAGAATCCACGGTGCATTTGTCTGCCTGAATTCTGAGAGAGGACAGCAGGGGGGGAAAAAAAAAAAGAATAAAAGGAATTGAGGCTGCTGGTTTATGAAGAAGGAATAC